CCACTCGCGGCTGTCATCAACTACTTGGTCAGTGCTGGGTGGGATATGCCAAGGGCAGCTACCTGGTTCCCACCGTGCGTGGATGGTGCGACGGAGGACGGGCGGTTTTTCGAGTCTGAGGAGTTCCGCGCTTTCGACCAGGCGCGCGGCTTGAAAGACATTTTCGCCCAGTCGTTACAGGGCAGCCTCTGGAAGGAAGCAGCTCGCACATCGCATTGTGGAGGTGGGGTGGAGAACGGCAGTGGCATTTTCAGATTGCGAAGGTATCTGTATCAGCTCGAATGCACACCTGGGCGCGGGCGCCAACTCCGCGAGCTGATGATGGCGATCGCCGTCGGAGGATCTCGGACGGATGACAGGGGGACAGGATATGTGCACGAGGCCCCAGATGCGCGTGGGAGTTGTGGCGAGGCTCTTGAGGCCCCCCTCCATCGAGTGTGGGGGTGCGAGTGCAATCGCGTTGATTCACCGGTCTGTGTTGCCTCTGACAAGCTTGTTGCCCGGGCCATCGCCCAGGCTAACGGTTGCGAGTGCGACTGGCTCAGTGGGTTGATCACCAGCGGCATGGTTTATGTCGACCCCCCCCGTCCGACCAATAATTTCGGGTCAGGAGCCATCCGGACGATGAATGCACTGACCTCTATTTCGGCGTCGGCACCCCTCTCCGCCCTCTCTTCCTCTTTGGCGATTCGTCTGGGGGTGGCGCCCGCGACCCCGGGCTCCGCGGAGTAGGGGTGGCCGTGTAGCACAGAGCAGACCCGAGAGTCGGATGCCAAATTTATAGATGGTCCACGGCCTGGTCGGCGCCAGCCCGCCCCCAGGGGTGAGCTTTTTTGTTTCGTGTCTGCTGTGGCTCAGTTTTAGGGCCCGATGGCTTCTGTCGCGGACAACGAAGAAGTTTGCCGCGGTTTTGGGCGGATCTTTTCCTGGCCCCGATGGGGCCAAAAGCCGGCTTGTGGAGAAAACTTGGAGAAGTCATCCAGGCGACGGGTCGTCATCCAGGTGACCTCGCGGCGCGCCCGGTCTTTTCACACTTAGAGGCGGGCGAAGTTGTTCCGCAACCTGTCTGGGCCCTTGGTGGCAGTCGACGCGTTCAATGATCATTAGGCGGGGGTTGCTGCAAAAAATTGACGTGTCTCATGTGCGCAGCGTGCCCGCCTGATTCGGGCCGAGGCGGATGTTTGGTTGACCAGGGAACGGTTACTTACAACCACGTTGGAGGCGATCAAGGTTGAGGGGAAAGAGCAACGGCGCCCTGCTGCTCCTGCTGCTGCCCCCCCCCGCCCCCTGTGGCCGCGGCTCTGTTCAATTCCCAGCGTGCTCTGCTCGAGTGCGGAAAGGAATGTTCCGGGTGCGTTGGCTCCTACCTCAGAAGCGGGTCGGGCTAAATGGATGTCCACCGAGTGTTTTGACCTTCTGAATCTGTCGACTGTGCTCTCTGAGTTGCCTCTGGGTCGCACTTTGCATCTCGCTGGGGGCATGGTTCATGTTTCCCATGCTATTTTATCTCATAGCGGCCTTCAGTTATGGTTATGTACAGCACGTGGATGTTACCGCCACAAGCCATTGCGTGGCCTGGCAGATTCATGCCGTGCCCGTGCGGCCCCGCCCGCCCCGATCACTGGGGTTCGGCGGGTACATCTGGGCTGTTTTCCATGAGCCTACGGCCCAAAGTTCTCAGCAAGGCTGAAAAGGCGGCTCGGGGGTCTTAATTTTATATAGGCTCGCTTCGCGACTGGTCTCATCTCATCCCATCTCATCACATTTCATATCATGTCATCTCATCTCATTTCATCTCATCACATATCATCTCATCTCATCTCATCCCATCTCATCTCATCTCATCTCCCCTCCCCCTCCCCCTCCCCCTCCCCCTCCCCCTCCCCCTCCTCCTCCGCGTTGGCACCTGTGCCATTGGGTCCCCCCCCAGGAAAACAGGCGGGTAGCCTCCCGATCCTCACCCCAGGTGTTCCTTCGGGACCCTGCGGGGGAATAAAGGTAGTCGTAGGCCGTCCCAGCCTGCGCAACGGGGGAAGCGTCGTGCCTGGGACCTATGGGGCTGGTCCCGACTCGCCAGTGCGGTGGGCGGGGGTGGTCCAGGGCCCCCGGGCGCGGCCTTTCCCTACGTGTTCCCGCGCCTGGGTTGTGGGTTTCTGCCGCGTTTTGCTGCGACACCCTTGCGGTGGCCCACGTGAAACTCCGCCAGGGTTCGGGCGGTGTCGCGGGTCCCCTGTGCGGCGGTGGGCTCATTAGCGGATCCCCGCCCATTCCTCCCACGATCACGGCCCCCTGCCGCGGCGTGCGCGGGGGCGGGATGTCCCCGGGGGAGCGGCGCCCCTCGGGTGGCTTATCGGGGCGGCACGACCGAAAGCGGCGCGTCGCTACGTTAGGCCTCGGAATCGTTACAACGCTTTTAGCTGCGGTGCGTTATTTTTGTGTTGCCGCCTCGCGCATTGGTCGCGCGCATCGGCTCTAGACGCCTGCAGCCCTCGTTCTGCGTGTCTCCGCAATAAGTTTCGCCGCCTCCAGCCACAGAGTCCAGGCGAGCCCGCGCGGACTTTAGCCGTGAGCGGGGCGCTGGGGTGTTTCTCGAGCCAATGGGTGCTCGAGCCGACTCGTGCTCGCACGGTTGGCCCATGGCGCCCTGACACGGTCCTCCTTTTTGGTTGCTCCAGTCCATTCCACTCCACCTCCATGTTGTTTCGATTTCTCATTGTTGCCCACCCTCGTTCTCTCCCAAATTCCCATCCCTTTCCCCCCGTCCCTCTTCTCCCTTCCCGCCCCCGCTCCCAGTCGCCCCCCTTTCCGCTCTCATCAGCGCTATCGTCATCGCCCCCCCCCTCCTCTCTCATCCCCTCTCGGCGGCGAGCGAGGGGGGCAAGTGAAAAGGAAAAGGGTTTTTCAGAATGCGGCGGGACTTCTCAGAAACCTTCGCGACATCTGAGAAGCTGTCTGTATCTTCTGGGGGAGGGTTTGAGAACTTCGCTGAAGGCGGGGGGACCTCCGAGCCTTCCGAAAAGGCCTTTGCTTTTTCGCACCCCCCCTGGGCGCGCTGCCGCTTCTCCTTTTTTTCTCTTGCCGGCGGCGGCGGGGTCCTGTGGCGGGGACGGCGTGCGATGCTCTATGGGGCTTGTCGGCGCTTTGGCCCGTGTCGGGGGATATCTTTCGGGGTTCCCCGGCCGCTCTCTCCCTTCCCACAGTTGCGCCGCCCCGGCAGCGGCGACCCGGCCATATGCAGCCGTGAGTGCCGCAGCTGTGATCGCCGTCGTTGGTGGAGCTCCCTGTGCGGCCACGAAAGGTGTGAGGGGTGTGCCGAACCGGGTGCGGGGCCGCCATGCGTGACGGACAAATGTTTCACCACGACTACCAAATGTAGGACGGGGGAGAAGGGGGGATGAAGAGGTCCTCCTCCTCGTCCTCCGCGTCCTCTTCCCCCCTCTCCTAGTTATGGTAGGGAAAATGGGCCAGTCAATGCGAACCCTGCCGCAGGGGCCTTCGGTATTGGTCCACGTAGCGCGTGAGGGGTGTGCCGGATCTGGTGCAGGGCCACCTCGGGCCCAGCCGCAGGGCCTTCGGTGGAGTGCTCGCTGGGGCCACGCAAACGTGTGAGGGGTGTGCCGAAGCGGGTGCGGGGCCGTCGTGCGGACCCTGCTGCGGGTGCCTTCGGTGGGTCCACCATGTGATCGTTTTCGTGTTAATTGTTTTGCCGATCGGCGCGGGCCATCGCACTTTCCCCTTTCCCCCCCCGTGGAGTAGATCTTGGCTCTTTGGGGCGCCTGTTTCAGGCAGGTGGGGCCTCCCCCCATAGAACGCACTGTCGCAAACAGTCGCACTAAGCAGAGGTCTGGATCCAGACCCCTCCTTCCCCCCCCCATCCGCCGAACTCCCACACGGTGAATCAGAAAACGCTCACCATGTGGATCCTGCCGCTGGGGCCTTGGGTGAAGCTCCCTCTGGGGCCACGACACGTGTGAGGGGTGTGCCGCATCGGGTGCGGGGCCGTCACGACACGCGTGAGGGGTGTGCCGAAATGGGTGCGGGGCCGCCGTGCGGACCATGCCATTGGGGCCTTCGGTGGAGCTCCCCATGGGGCCACGAAACGTGTGAGGGGTGTGCCGAGATGGGCACGAGGAGGGCAGAAGCAGGGATGGGAGGAGAAAGGAGGAGGGAGGTGGCGGGAGCAAGGAGGCGGGAGGAGAGCAGAGGGCCGAGGCCCAGGTGGGAGGAGGGGGGGAATAGGAGAGGAGGAGCGAGGAGGAAAAGGTGGAACGCGGGGCGCTGTCTCTTCAAACCGAGGACCCAACACCACAGGATGGTCGGGAGCAAAACGTGTTTCTTCGCATTCGACACGTGTTCCGTTTTCGTTCTTCCTGGTGCTCGGTGAGGGCTGCATTAGCCCTTTTGCGCTTCAGGCTCCTTGTGGCCTGCAACTCGCGATACTTTTGCTGCGCCTTCGCCGCTCACCGACCTGCTGCTTGGCCTCTGACCTCGTCGAACATATGTTTTTCTGATTGTTTTTCTCGTCTTCTTCCTCCCTCTTGCATCAAAGAATGGGAAGCAATGAAAAGCACCCCGAACTCCCTAGCCCGCGTTCGCTGAACAGTCCTGGGCGCGTACTCCAAGGAGTCCTGCCCTGCTCGATTCCTCATTCGGGTGCGCTTACTGAAGGTCCTCGCCTGAAGGGGTGCTTCTTGTGCACCTGCTCCTTGGGCGCGGCCGCGTCGGTCGCGCCCTTCGGGCCCTTCCTCCCCCATCCTCCTCCCTCCCTCCTCCTCCTCCTTTTCCTCCTCCTCCTCATCCCTTCCCTCCCTTTCCTCCCTTTCCTCCTCCTCCTCCTCCCCTCCTCCCCTTCTGGCCCTTCCCTCCTTCACCCTCCTCCTCCGCCTCGTCCTCGTTCTCCTGCTCCTCCTCCTCCTCCACCTCCTCCTCCTTCTCCTCCTTCACCTCCCCCTCCTCTTCCCCCTCCTCTTCCTCCTCCTCCACCCTCCAGTTGCAGACAGGCGGCGGCGCCGTGCCTGCCGCGGCCGCGCCAGCGCCAGCGGCACCCGCCGCCGCTCCGGCGGCGGCCCCGGCTCCGCAGCCGGCCGCCGCGCCGGCGGGGCCGCCGCAGCGGAATCCGAAGAGGACCTCGGCGCCCGCCCGTGCGCACACCCCTCCTCCTCCTCCTCCTCCTCCTCCTCCTCCTCCTCCTCCTCCTCCTCCTCCTGCGGCGGCCGCGTGTCTGCCGCGCGCCGGGAGCACATTGATCGGGGGCCGGCGCAACCCCCCAACCCCAGGACAAGCACGCCGCTCAGCGGCGAGCAAGCCCCGGAGCCGAGGGGGTGCGCCGACCGGGGCCTCTACCTCGCATACACGGTAGCACGGCGGCGACCTCCTCCTCTTCCTTCTGCTCCTCCTCCTCCTCCTCGTCGTCGTCGTCGTCGTCCTCCTCCTGCAGAACTCAACGCGTCGAGGACGTCAGTGCGATGCGTCATGCGCAGTACTTAAGCAGCGCCTCAGCCCGATGCTCTGGACGCCCGAAATGGGTACGGCAATACTGGGTACGATGTCCAGCAGCAGTTCCTGTTCATTTTGAGCAGGAGTCGCTGTCCGCGCCGCCGCGGCCTGTGTCCATTTGAGACAGAAGGCCGCCCGCCCAACAGCGGCCGCTGTTGGTTTGGAACAACATTTGTTGTTGGGCATTGTACCCATTCTTTCCGTACCCGTTTCGGGCGTCCAAAAATGCAGCGGTGATACGGCAGTGGGTAGCTTCCCACAGCAGGTTGCCGCTCCATGGGCGTCGTGAGGCAAGTCGACGAAGGCGTCTATACACAACCACCGTGCCAGGCCAGGGCCATTCTGGGCCCCAGGATGGTGCATCGACCCTGCTGGCCTCGGCCAGGAGGGCGTACATACCATGCCAGGGCCAGGATGGCCCTGGCCTGGCACGGCTGTGGTGTATGGGTGCTTTCTGCGTGGGCGACACATGACGGAAGGGCGGCAGAGGAGGAGGAGGAGGAGGAGGAGGACGAGGACCAATGTGAACCCAAGGATCATCAACAACGTTGTAATACACTTTCCTTCCAAGCTGTTTCTCTGTCTGTTTGTTTGTGTGTCTCTCTCTCTCTCTCTCTCTCCATCGGCTCCTACAAGGGTCATGTCCACTGACGGACAGGCCCCGTTGGGGGGGAGGGCCAACCGTGTGAACATCATGAAGCGTGCCAAAACACCATTCTCAGGACGACAACGCCGCGAGTCAACGTGACTGTTGCGTCTCGACGACCCTGACTAGTGCCAAACAATCGTTGTTGGGATGTCAAGACCGCGATTCGCTCTAACTGTTGCGCCCTGACAGTCCTTAATCGTTTCAAAACATTTCCTGGTACGCGTGCCATGAGGACCTGTGTCGCTCTTGCAGGTTTTTGAAACGAATGTGTGCGACGCGACGGCGAGAGCCACGTTTTGCAAAGGAGGCGCTTTCGATTTGTCAAACCCGTGCATGTTTTAACGGAGTACGCGCGGTCTAAAAGTCGAGAACCACATCATGAACACCACCCGCCCTCAATCCGTGAAGCTCTGGCACTTTTTTGAAACGAGCGCGCGCGGCGCGAAGGCGAGAGTCACATTCTGAAAACTACCTTTCCTCAATCAGTGAAAGCTACAATTGTTTAAGACCGCTGTGAGTTGCGCGACGATGTTGCAATAAACCTTTTTTCCTCCAAGTTTTTCCATTGGTGCTTAGAATATGCAGCCGTATTGCGGGAGCCGTTCCGTTCGAAAACAGCATCATGGGAATTTTCAATCATGCCAACACGCGATCCCTGGGACTTCACGCCGTGAATCAACGTGATTGTTGCGTCCTGGCGTTGTGGAATCGTACCAGCACATCACTCCTGAGACTCCAAACGTACGAATCTTTGAACTTTCTGCAATCCGTTACAAACAATGCTCGTGGTGCTAAGGCGACAACCATATTTCAAAACTGGGCCGCCCTTCATCCGTGAAGCTGTTGCAAACATTTGCGCCAAACGCGCGCGGCGCTAAGGAGACAGCCTCGTGCATGTAAGGAACATGTGCGTGTGTGTGTGTGTTCGTGTGTGTTTCGCCCAACCAGAACCGAACACAACAACCCCGCAGTACAACACGGGATCAACACGAAATTGGTGCGCAAAAGAGCCCGCAACGGAAAACAACCGACCCCACAACGGGAACAGTGTGCGTTCAGCCAGAAAGCGAGAGCCACATCATGAAGACGGCCCGCCCTCCATCCGTGACGCTGCTGTTTTCATCTCAAGCTGCAGGACATGGTTAGGAAGTCGACGGCCCACCCTGCCGACACTCCTGTGGTTTGCGAGTGGTTCATAGAGAATGGAGGTGGAGGAGGAGGAGGAGGAGGAGGAGGAGGAGGAGGAGGACGGAGGAGGAGGAGGAGGGAGGAGGAGTGAGGGAGGAGGAGTGATTTATAGAGAAGGAAGGAAAAGGGAGGAGGAGGAGGAAGAGGAGTGATTCATAGAGAAAGGGGGTGGAGGAGGAGGAGGAGGAGGAGGAGGAGGAGGAGGAGGAGGAGGAGGAGAAGGAATGAGGGGGGATGAGCAGAGTGAGGAGGATGGTCCTATGCCGCCGGGGGAGACTGCCCAGCGCCAGTGGGCGCAGTGGTTCTGCGTTTTGTGAGGCTCGGGTCGGACGAACGGGGGGGTCTCTGACACCCTCGCACAGCGAAACAATCACGACGGGCGGAACTTCGGCATCTTCGGACTCCGGGGCCTTACTGGGCTGCAGCACCGTCAGCACACGACTCGGGATGAAAAGCCCATTCGTTCCAGAGCGTTCCCGAACGCTCACAGAGCGTTCCTGAACGCTCCGAGAAGGCCGCGGCGCCCGAGACGTCCTGCAGATTTCAGAGATTCTCGATATAACGTCACCCGATGTGTTCCTCGTCCTGGCTTTGTTGTAGGTCCAGACACCACGGGAGCCACGTTGTGAACAAGTCGCAACGTCGACTACAAAATTGAGTGGCTCCACAATTCATTTATCAACCGAATATGCCAGAAACACGTAGGGTCAGTCTTGATTGGTAGGTCGACCCTGCCAAGGCAAGGGTACCCTTGTGTCCTGTCCTGAGAGACCCGTGCCCTTTCTATTATATTCCTATGGCAACGTAGCCCTCGGAAGGGCCTTGCGTCCTTTCGCGTGTTCTGTCCAATCGAGCCCGACCCTAGACATCTGGCCGCTCCAGTTTTGTCGATCCCCAGGGTCGGTTTTTCGTCCCGAGTTGTTTTTTCATGTTCCCGATGCCCGGCGAGGGCCCCTGGAGGCCGAAAACTGCCAAAATCCCGCCGCTCTATTTTTTGGGAGAGTCGTATCTCTGGGACTAGAATGCTGGTATATCTACGGGACGTTACACGTATTTGCTCGTGTATTCAGTGGGAAAGTCGATTCTGCAGCCGATCCCTCATTCGACGGGTGTTGCCGGCACCCCCGCGCCGCCTCTGCAATGTGCGGCGCGGTTGTTGGCTACTCTCAGGTCTGGGGCGGCACGAGAGACATCGCGACAGCATGCGGTCCAACGTGCTCGTCTCTTGGGCCGTCTTGAGCGACGCCGAGGATGATCAGCCCGACGAGTGGAATACCAGATTCACCCCCGCGCCGCCTCTGCATGTGCGGTGCGGTCACCGCTCTCTCGGGTCCAGGGCGGCGCGGGAGACACCGTGACGGCACGCTGTTCGATGTGCTCGTTTCCGAGACCGTCAAGAGCGACACCGATCGGGGCTCAAGAGACGGGGTCAATGCACACGGGGTTCAGTCAGCTCGCTGGATCTTGCAGGATTCTGCAGGACCAAGGGTTACATTGACCAGGGTTTGGGTGCAGGATTTTGCAGGATCCTGCAAGATCCTGACTGACCGAGGGCTGGATTGACCCGGGTCAGTTCATCCCGCGACACCGAGGATTGAAAGCCCAGGGCTCGACTTGAACGGTCTTTTGGCGATTTCGTGGACCGTTTTCCGTTTTGAATTCGTTTTGCAGCGATGGCTGAACGAAGACAGAGCGAAGGAACACGAAAACAAGACGAAAACAGAGAACATTTGTTTGATCGAGCTCTGGAAAAGCCCGACGAGTGGAATACTAGATTCGGCAGCAGATCTCCGAGGCGGGAGTTCGTCCGTAACCACCGCCTGGTGGATCGATCTTCTTTGATCTCCAGAGGCGGTGGATATAGATATCTTCGGGTCCCTGGAGGCCAACATGTATCCATAGTCACCGCCCGCTGGGGCACCACGACGTCGGTTCCCATGCGGTGGATATGGATGAGTCCCCCCTCGCAGATTCGGCAGCAACTCATTGGTGCCTGGTATACCCTTGTCATTCCGTCCTTAGCGTCGATTCGCGTCGATTCGCGCCTTCGGGTCGATGAGATAGCGCCGATTTAGCGTCAGAGAGCTTCGATCACCGTCGAGTTAGCGTCGACTAGGGTCGAGTAGCGCCGATTCGCAAGAGACGACAAGATGGTATGGGAGGCTCCCATGAGTTGCCACTGAAACTAGGATGCTCGGAGCTCAAGAGACGGGGGTCACTGGTAACAAGGGTCAGTATCGCGCCAGATCTTGCAGGATCCTGAAGGACCAGGGTTGCATTGACCCCGGCTTGGGTGCAGGATCCTGCAGGATTTTGCAGGATCCTGCGAAGCCTGACTGACCTGGGCTTGGATTGACCCTGGTCAGTAGATCCCCGAATTGCGCATCGGTGTAATTATCAGAAGATTCGTGCGATTGGTGCAATTATCCGAAGATTCGTGCGATCTCTTTGAGCCGACGCTGGACACCCTCCCTGGCGGCGCCTCCAGCGCCGCCGCCTTTGGCGAGTGCGGCGACGACCGAGATCCGTGCGAACCTCCGAAAGTTCATCAGGGTGAGGGGGCCAAACGGTCATTCACTGTCCCTGGGCGCATGGCTGAAGTCAGGTTCTGCAGTGCTGACTGTTGTTGTTGTTGAACATTATTTCTTCTTAAGAATAATTATTGTTGGGACCCCTGGTGCGCGACCCCCCCGCCACGCCTAGGCCGCAGCCTCATTTTCATCATTTTCGTGAGGAAGTCTCAGGCAAAACGGGTTGGTCCGGATCCGGTTGTGTTGTTACGATCGGTTTTCCCTTGCAAAAAATAAGCTAAAGTGGACATTTCTTGTTCTAACATAACCAAACTTCAAGAATCCCTTGCAAAAAATAAGGTAAAGTGGACATTCGCGCGCGCAAGACGAAATCCTTCCAAAACCTTAGTTTTCGTAGCGATTTTAACATAAAAACATCAAAAAACCAATGGTTTTTCAAAAAAAATGTCAAAATTTCATCCCGCGCGCTCTTGCGGATTCGTAGGAAACCCAACACTTTTTAAACATTTCTGTCAAACGGGCTTTTGCGAGCAACTTTTTCGAACTTCTGCAACAACGGTTGCGCACCTGCCAGGGCCATCATCCCTGTCAAATAATACCATGCGGGACACATTCGTTTTTTCTTCGCGCGCGCACGCCGTCGTCGTCGGCCGCGGGGCCCTGAATAGTAGCCACGGTCGTCCGCATGCCACGAAGTGAAGTGTCCGAACGTCATAGGGCGGGAAGCTGGGTGTGGGTGGTGGCGAAGAGTCGTTTGGAAATTTGGTAGAGCTTGAACCGGCCCCCCCACAAAGTGGGGGTATTGCCCGCCTCCTATGAAAACCCTGGCACTGGAGAGAACGGTGTGTCCCCACGTGCTAGTAATTGTTGTTGTTGTTGTTGTCGTTGTTGTTGTTGTTGATGTTGCTGCTGTTGTTGTTGTTATTGTGGTTGTTGTTGTTGTTGTCGTTGTTGTTGTTGTGGTTGTTGTTGTTGTTGACGAAACCCTGGCGCAAGACCCCCTCCCCCCCTGGCGCAACGCAGCGCAACTCAACGCAACTGATCCCGCGCCCTGAGGCCGCGTGAGAGTCCTATGGGGTTCCTCTGGAGCCTATAGGATCCGATTAGATTCCTATAGGATTCCTGTAGGATCCCATGTGACTCGTATAGGAGTCCTATCGGATCCTACGGGCTTCGTATAGGAGTCCTATGGGGTTCTATGGGTTTCGTATAGGATTCCTATGTGATCCTACGGGACTCGTATAGGAGTCCTAAAGGATCTTATGGGATTATAGGACTCCGAGGGGAACGAAAAATAACATAACTGTAAGAACTCGGAGGTCCGCGAGGATTTCTTGGATCCGCGCTGGGGCGGCGCCGGAGGCGCCGCCAGGGGGGCCCAGCGCCGATCCGAGAAATCCGCGCGGACCTCAGAGCTGTTATGTTTGTGTCATTCTTCGTTCCCCTAAGAAGTCATCCCCAGTCATTTCCCAGTCAGGCTTTTCCCAAGGAGGCTTCGCCCAGGGGGCTCGCACGTGCCTGTGAAAGAGGACCCCTTGGGGTGAGGGGCGGCTGGCGTTCCTCGGGGCTCCCGGCCGCTGCTCATGACTCCTCGGCCCACAATGGCGTTGCCTGGGGGTCCTCGGGGCTCGGAGCTCTTCGGGGCTGCCGAGCAATGCGAAGCAAGTCAACGCAAGCCAATACCAACCATTGCCAGGCAACAACATCCAGTGCCAAGCAACGCTTCTAACCAACGCTTCTAGGCAACGCGCAGCAAAGCTAAAAGCGTTGCCAAGCAACGAACTCAAGCAATGCCAAGCAACACCAGGCAACGCCAAGCAATGCAGAGTAATGCCAAGCAATGCCAAGCAACGCCGAGCAATGCCAAGCAGGGCAAACCAATACAAGTCACGACCACGCAATACCAAGCAAGATCTCGCAGTGCAGAGCAGTACCAAGCAATGCCAAGCAATGCTACGCCAAGCCTAGCAATTCCAATCAACGCAAAGTGACGCAAAGCAATGCAGATCAATGTTAAGCAATGCCAAGCAACGATTCTAAGCAACAGCCAGCAACGCCAAGCATTGCCAAGCAATGCCATGCTATGCAAACTGAGCAGTGCTTTGCATTGCATCGCTCAGAAACGTTTCGAATCGATGGTGTGTCGCGCGCTGGTTCAAGTTTCTTCCAAGAAGATCACGACATCCTGCCGACCCCGGAAGAGGGATCAAGTCAACGGGTGAGGCCTTTTGGAGCCTCTTGGGGTTCCTCAGGGGGCTTCGTTTAGGTCTCTTGGGTGCCTCCTTCGGGCCTCCCGGGGGTTGCTTGGGCGCCTGCTGGCAGTCTCGGGGGGTCCTCTTTGAGCGGAGGGCTTGGAAGGTCAGTTCGAGCTCACCTCGTCAGGGCTCATTTCGATTCCTCCGATTCGATTCGATTAATTCCGATTCCGATTCGTTTCGATTTTGGATTCCGATTTTGGCTCCGATTTCTTAATGGAGGCCTACTAGGCTGCCGATTCCCGCCGATTCGACTTTTCCCGACTCGGCTGCCGGTTTCCGTCGATCCGATTCATTTCGATCGCCGATTCGACTCGTCGATTCGATTCTGGGCTCTCCTGCCTCCCTTAGGCCCCTCTAGGGGCACCGCTCGGGCTCACCTGGGCCTTGGGCGCCCCTCGGGCCGTCTTGTGGCCCACTTCGGCCGTCCCGGGGTCCTCCTGGGGGCTTCTTAGACCGTCATTGGAGCGGTAATGGGGGCCTCTTGAGACGTCTTGGACGTTGTTGAGACCACACATGAGAATGTGCTCAAATGATACGTTTCCCAAAAGGATTTGGACGATCCTTTGCTTCTTGGGGCCCTCTCGGGGGTCGTTTTGGAGCCCTCTTGGGGCGTCTTTGAGGCCTCGTGGGCAGCCTGAGGCTCTTTTGGTCGTCTTCTAGGACTCCTGTGCATGTTGGAGCCCTGCTTGAGGAAATGTAGATCGATTCGCCAACGTCTTGGCGGCCACAAAGTGCGGAAATGGTGCTCCAGAGGCCCCGGGACAGCATCTCGGAGGCCCCCCCTTCAACCCCCTTCCCCCCCCAGGCCCTCCCCTCCCGCGCCCCCCCCGCTCTGATCGGATTTCAGGTCCCGGGGGAGGGGCGTAAATTACTGGGAAGGGGTGGGGGGAGACGGTCGAGACAGAGGTAGACGGGTTGAAGGGGAAGAGGAGGAGGAGGAGGAGGGGGAAGGGGGAGGCCGAGGAGGAGGAGGGAGGAGGAGGAGGAGGCGAGGGGGAGGCGGAGGCGGAGGAGTAGGAGTTTGGACTAGGAGTAGGAGTAGGAGGAGTAGGTGGAGGAGGAGGAGGAGGAGGAGGAGGAGCAGGAGGAGAAGGAGTAAAAATAAGAGGAGGTCCAGCTCTGACGAGCTCGATAGCTCGCCTAAGAAAGGAAGAGGAGGGGAGAGTAGGAGGGGCACAGCCGGTCATCTCACACGCCTCTGCACCCTCGGCAAGCGGGGGACCTCAGATTCGCGGCATGGGCCCCCGGACCTCCCGACCCCGTCCTGAGTTCGGGTGGTTCGTAGGGGAGGGCGGATTATCCCAAGGTGGGATTCGGGAGTATACCCAGCCGGATACTAACATTACTTCTCACAGGGGCCGTTCCGACCGACTGTCCTCTGACCCCACCCCTGCCCCCACCCCACCTGTACGTCCCCCCGATGTGGGCCCGTTTTTGCACCTGGTTGTTTGTGGGCGGTCCTCCCTTCCCCCGCCCCGCGGCCGCCTCCGTCCTTTTCCTCGCCCTTGCCGCTGAGCACTCGGCGATGCCGTTGCCCGGCGTGCCCGAGCGCGCGTTCGGACTGCCCCTGCCGCGCTGCGGCGCCCCGGGGACCCGAGACGGGCCCCTGGGTGCCGCAGTCGTGGACAAGCCGGCCGCCCTGGTTTCCGCAAGGCGCCACCAGGCGTCATGGCGCCAACGTCGCAGAGCGGATCTCGTTCGGAAAACGCTGGGATAGGCCCGGATGGTCCTGGAGAAATTCGCTCCAGATTTCGTGCGGATCTTCTTGTTGGTCAGGAACGAAGACACCACAAACATCCACGGGAAGTTCGCTTCGTTGTTCGCTCGCCGTCTCCAGGTTTGGCACAAATCCGCTGCAGCACGTCTGCAGGGCCGGTGCATTGACCAGGCTTGGCCCCTCGCGCCGGCCTTTGTCCGCCGCCCTTCTCCTGATGGGCCCGTTTTCCACCACCACCACCATGGGTAGGACAGGGGAGAATGGAGGCTGGGGGGGTCCTCCTCCTCCTCCTCCTCCTACTCCTCCTCCTCCTCCTCCTCCTCTTCCTTTTCCCTCTCCTGCCGATGGTAGTGGTGGTGGAGAGTCGGCCCATCATCTCCTGCTGCCGCCGCGGGTGCGCGGCCAGGATCATACCCAACGTGGTGTACCTGTCGCCGCTGCCCGCCACCTGGGGCCAGGAGCGCCCCCTCCTGCCCAGCCCCTCGCCTCGCCCTTCTCCTGCCCCGTCGCCTCGGCTCCGCTCCTCTGCCCTCTCCGGCTTTCTCCCACTTCCCCTTCTTGCTCCTCCTCCTCCTCCTCCTCCTCCTCCTTCTCCCCTCCTCCTCCTCCTCCTCCTCCTCCTCCTCCTCCTCCTCCTCCTCATCCTCCTCCTCCTCTCCTCCACTCCTTCTCCTCCTCCTCCTCCTCCTTCCTCTTCTCCTCCTTCCTCCTCCTTCCTCTCCTCCTTCCTCCTCCCTCCTCCTCCTTTCCCCTCCCCTTTTTGCTCCTCCTCCTCCTCCTCCTCCTCCTACCTCCTCCTTCCTCTTCCTCGCGCTCCACCGCTCCGCCGTTCTCTCCTCGCCCTCCTCCTGCTCCTGCTCCTCCTACCTCCTCCTCCTCCCCTCTTCTCTCCTGCTCGGTTGGGGGAGAGGAAGGACGAACGATGACGGAGGACCGAGGAGGAGAAGGACGACGCAACAAGGAGAGGGACGTTCAAGCTGCCAGCGCCGTGCTGCGAGCCGGTGGAGGTCGTAGCGCACATGCCTGGCCAGTCGGCGCAGCTCCGCGTCGGCACAGGCAACCCCCCTGCGGAGTCCAACGATGCCTCCGAAGTGCGTCGGGACAGTCAGTCTGGTCATGCATTCTGCCCGACATGGGGGGCCCTGCCCAACGGGGATTATGCACGTGTGTGTGTGTATGTGTGTGTGTGTGTGTGTGTGGGTGCGTGCGCTCGTGCAGCGGGTCCATCATCAAGTTCAGTCTCTTCGCTTTTCACCATGACCTCCCCCTCCTCCTCCTCCTGCTCCTCCTCCTCCTCCTCCTCCTCCTCCTCCGCCTCCGCCTCCGCCTCCGCCTCCTCCTCCTCCTCCTCCTCCTCCGGAAAGCAACAAGCTCGCTTTCAGCCGGCCACCCAGTGCAAAGGGCTGGCAGGCAGATCCTGATCATGAGCATGCGGAATGCAGGCGGGGCGAGGCTTTAAAACAAGAAAGCATTAATATATATATATATATATATATATAATTAAAAGAAAAAACAGGAGGAATACTCCCACATGGAAAATAAATATTGGGACGATTTGTCTATTACGTGTTCCTCTTCTTGCGCATGTTTTGCCATTTTTCCCAACCATCTTGTGGTGTTGGGTCCTCGTTTTGAAGAGACGGTGCCCCGCGTTCCCGCCTCCTCCTTCCTCCTCCCTCCTCGCCCTCCTCCCTCCTCCTCCCTCTCCCCCCTCCTCCCTGCGTTTCACCCCCCCATTACAACGCTTCGTGGCTCCATAGGGAGCTCCACCGAAGGCCCCAGCGGCAGGGTCCGCATGCAGTTCCACCTCCATTTCGGCGCACCCCTCACACGTTTCGTGGTCCCGTGCTTCAGTGGCAGGGTCCGCATGCAGTTCCACCTCCATTTCGGCGCACCCCTCACAAGGGTGCTCCACCGAAGGCCCCAGTGCAGGGTCCGCATGCAGTTCCACCTCCATTTCGGCGCACCCCTCACACGTTTCGTGCTCCAGGGTGCTCCACCGAAGGCCCCAGTGGCAGGGTCCGCATGCAGTTCCACCTCCATTTCGGCGCACCCCTCACACGTTTCTTGGCCCCATAGGGTGCTCCACCGAAGGCCCCAGTGGCAGGGTCCGCATGCAGTTCCACCTCCATTTCGGCGCACCCCTCACACGTTTCGTGGCCCCATAGGGTGCTCCACCGAAGGCCCCAGTGGCAGGGTCCGCATGCAGTTCCACCTCCATTTCGGCGCACCCCTCACACGTTTCGTGGCCCCAGAGGGTGCTCCACCGAAGGCCCCAGTGGCAGGGCTCGCATGCAGTTCCACCGCCATTTCGGCGCACCCCTCACACGTTTCGTAGCCCCATAGGGTGCTCCGCCGAAGGCCCCAGTGGCAGGGTCCGCATGCAGTTCCACTCCATTTCGGCGCACCCCTTCGCGGGCCCCATAGGGAGGGTGCTCCACCGAAGGCCCCAGTGGCAGGGTCCGCATGCAGTTCCACCTCCATTTCGGCGCACCCCTCACACGTTTCGTGGCCCCATAGGGTGCTCCACCGAAGGCCCCAGTGGCAGGGTCCGCATGCAGTTCCACTTCCATTTCGGCGCACCCCATCACACGTTTCGTGGCCCCATCGGGAGCTCCACCGAAGGCCCCAGCGGCAGGGTCCGCATGCAGTTCCACCTCCATTTCGGCGCACCCCTCACACGTTTCGTGGTCCCGTAAGGTGCTCCACCGAAGGCCCCAGTGGCAGGGTCCGCATGCAGTTCCACCTCCATTTCGGCGCACCCCTCACACGTTTCGTGGCCCCATAGGGTGTTCCGCCGCGCACCTCTCACACGTTTCGTGGCCCCATAGGGTGCTCCGCGGAAGGCCCCAGTGGCATGGCCGCAGGCAGTTCCATCCCCATTTCTTCGCACCCCTCACCACACGTTTCGTGGCCCTATAGGGTGTTCCGCCGAAGGCCCCAGTGGCAGGGTCCGCGTGCAGTTCCACCTCCATCTCCGCGCGCCTCTCGCACGTTCCGCGGCCCCATAGGGTGCTCCACCCAAGGCCCCTGTGGCAGGTCCGCATGCAGTCCCCCCTCCATGTCGGCGCACCCCTCACACGCTTCGTGGCCCCATGGAGTGTTCCACTCAGGGCCCCAGTGGCAGGTTCCGCATGCAGTTCCACCTCCATTTCGGCACGCCGTTTCCACGTTTCGCGGCCACCAGAGGCCCTGGTGGCAGCGCCCGCACGTGGTTCCACCCTGCATTTCCGCGTACCCCTCACATGTTTCGTGGCCTCAAATGGGGCTGCAACGACGGTTCCGGTGGCAGCGCCCGCATGGCGTACCCGTGCCAATTTTGGCACCCCCGTCACACGCGTCGTGGCCCCAGAGGGCGGTTCACCGAGGACGATACCCACACTTGCGTTACACACAGCTGCACATGGTTGGGTCCTTCGCCGGAATAATTATTTTCGTCGAAAATCATCATGTAGGGGACATGCCCGACCTTCGAACCCCAAGGGGCCATCTGTGTATGGGGGGCGGAGTGTATAGGGAGCTGCCAGAGCTATGAACATAGTTCTGTGGTGTTGGGGATGGCGTTGAGACGCATCCGTCTTGGTTCAACAAGGATCGCGGCTCCGGGGGGGACGCGCATGGTAGCGGAGCCCGTGGCCTCGGGATTCACGGGTTCTGCGTCGCAGGTGCGAGCCTAGCGGCTGAGGGAGGTTCCGCAGGCCGCGGAGGGCGGCCCAGCGGCCAGCGGGAAGCCCCGCAGGCCGACAGCGTCCAGCCCTGCGGCCAGCGGGGAGCTCCGCAGGCCGCGGAGGGCAGCCCAGCGGCAGCGGGAGGATACGTAGGCCGAGGAAGGCAGGAGGGCCTTCTCTGGACCCCTTGCAGGCCGAGGCGCAGCCTCGGCGGGCGTCGCCGCGACGGGTTGGAAGCAGCGCGGGCGGCGGCGGTCGGACGACGCCGCCTGGCGACGACAGCGGCGACGAGACGTCTGCAGGCTGCTGGGGTCGACGCTGAGCCTCGTCGAGCGGATCGTCGGGCACGAGATCGACCTGCCGACGTTCACGCACCGCGTGTTCGGGGACGTCGTCTTCGACGACGCGTTGAGACACGCTTGGCCGCTCGACGTCGTGGACGAGGACGGCAACCCCTTCGTGCACCACGAGAGCGAGGCCTACGCGGCCGTCGTAGCGTGGAGATTCAGAGATGGATGGGGGGGCTGCAAGCAGCAGCGCCGCAGCAGGCAGCGGTCGACCCCGCGTCCGCGGGCGCAGCTGCAGCAGGAGCCGCGGCGCAGCCTCAGCCGACAGCTCAGCAGGCGCTGGACGCGCTGCGGATCGCGACGGCTCGAGCGGAAGCTGCCGAGAAGCGAGCTCAGGAGCTGGAGTCGCGAGCGGGGGCGACAGCCAGACAGCAGGAAGCCCAGCTTCAGCAGTTGCAGCAGGCGCTCCAGCAATTAATCGCCGCGGGGGGCACCGCGGCGGTGGCTCCAGTGCCAGCGCGGAGCGAGGGTCGTCGCAAGTGGGGCATCGTCAACGCGAAGCTGCTGACGAAGCCAGCGCAGTACAAGGGCAGCGAGGCCGCGCGGCCCGCGTGGTCGCTCAAGCTGCTGACGTACATCGCGACGCTCGACGACGACCTCTACCAGGGGATGAAAACGGTGGACCAGAAGGCCGAGGAGCGTCACCAACTACACGTTGGATTTGACGAATCCAGCGCTCGTCGGCGCGTTTCGGCAGCTGTGCCACATGCTCGCGCTGCTTCTGGAAGGCAAGGCGTTCGCCACGCAGCGGCCGATCCCGAAGGGCGAGGGACTGTTGGTGCGGCGCCAGCTCGCGAAGGAGTTCGAGCCCGACCAGCCAGAGTCAGCTCTGGGCCGGATGCGGAAGCACATGGGGTGGGCGTTCGCAGCCGCGACGATCGAGACCGACATGAACGAGTTCGACGTGGCAGTCCAGACGCACGAGCGGCGTGGCAGCGCGGTGCCCGGCGACGTCGAGGCGGCGATCCTCATCGCGGGGATCCAGGACAGGAACCTTCAGCAGTGGCTGATGGTCAACGCCGACCGCCTCGGGGACTCTGGCGGAATCGCTGAGCGCGCGAAGACGTACCTGACGAACAGAAAGACGTTCAGGGGCGCAGCAAGAGGCGCCGCAGCGGTGGCCACCGCAGCGGACGACAGCGGGCATGCGCCGATGGACATCGGCTTCCCGACGGCGACGTTGGCAGCAGGAGGCATGGCGCCATCCGGGGTGACCATGGTCGTGAGCGCCACCAAGAAGGGCAAGGGCAAGGGGGAATGGAAGAGCCAAGGAAACGACGGCGGCAAGAAGGGATACGGGAAGTCCAACGACGGAAAGAGGGGCCCCCGAGCCCAGCACCAGACGCAGGGGGAGGGCAATGGCAGACACGGCCATGATGGTCAGCGCGTCGAGACGCGCACGTGCAGGAAGTGCCAGCAGAAAGGCCGCATGGTGAGAGACTG